ATGATTTTTATCATTCACTTACGTTTTCTAACTACTGATAGCTATACATGTACTAACAAATACGTTTTATATAAACCCCCATTACTACAGTTAACTGTAAAAGCGCGGGAGAAGGTGAGGTCAAGGTCGCGGTGTCTTGCGACCATATTGACGTACCTTATGACATAGTTCCGGATGCAGACGAGAAGTCTAATTACATGGTGATGTTCACACCTGAACAATCTGGAACGTATGAGATTCATGCCAAGTTTAATGACCTTGAAATGCGTGGTAAGTATTGGATAGTCTAGAAAACTTGAGACATAGAAAAGCCCGAACATCCGAATATGTTTAGTGGGTAGTGTGTTAAAAGGTTATTTTGTCTACTTAACAATGTGACCATCTCAAATAAGTCAAATACTTGACATATTACGTCAATTTTCTTCATTTATTAAGATCTAATAATCGTTTGTGTAAGAAGGAGTAACAAAAAAGTCACATGAACGCTTTTTAAAATAAATAGTGATGAAATGGTGGAATTTCTATGTACTTTTCAGATGTTATGTTTACATAAATTTATATCAAACACACACTCATCTCAAGTTTGAAGCAACATATTTTATCTTCTTACATATTGGATCAGGTTGGGTCGGGATTTTTTTTTCGTCACACCAATTCACGAGGTTAAACTGGTGGAGGGATACATCAGGTGCCCCTCTGAACATTGTTTAAGACACGAACAAGCACCTGCATATAATACTCAATCTTTCGAAAGATAGCTTGACCATCTTCCGCGTATGTAAGACTACAAAGTACCTTGCGGGATACGAACCTACAGTCATGAGGGGCAAGTGATTTAATGTCAGCCTCCTTAACCACTCGGCTACGGAGGACCGACCCCCTTTTAACGCGGCAGACATTGACTGTTGTTTCACTATTTTCTCAACATATTTTAATCAATCTATATTTCCACGTTTACATAGTTACGTCATGACTCTTATTCTTAAAATAGAATTCTTCTAATCATTTTCTGTAGCTGATTAGAAGTTATTGATTATACTTAAAACTAAAACTACTTTTTGATACATTCTTACGCCGATATCAAAGGGCCTTTTTTAAATATTCTCTGTCCATTTGCATAAGAGGGAGACTTGTGATAAATCTATAATATGTATTAAAGAGGATGATTTTTAATTTTTGCAGGCTCCCCAGGGCGTGTCAGTGTTCAAGACCCTAGCCAGATATCCGTGACGGGGGAGGGTGTGTCACGTGGTACGAAGGGTGAAGAGACCGCCTTCACCGTAAATGCTAGTGGTGTTGGTGGAAACATCAAAGTGCAAATATCAGGTATACTTAGAAAATTTCTTAATTAAGTAGTCAAAGCACAGTGGACACTTCAAAGTTTAAAAAGTTTAAATTCTAATAAAGATTGTGGTGATGAATTAAGTGCGTTTTAAACGTGCAATTACACTGCTGTGAATGTCATAAGAGAAGTGCATACACCCAGGTGACTTCAACACAAGAGTATTGACCATTTTCAACAGTTTTAGGAATATTATAAGACATGCATACTTAACATTTTCGGCGTTGAGAAATATACCTCGCATTTACGTCTCATCCGAATAAATTAATAGAAAAATATGTTGTAAGCTAATAGGTAGCTTGAGATCTGATCGAACCGACGACTAATTATTCCGAAGGGTTAGATTCAGAGAAGGCAAACACAGTAGAGACAAACACAGTAGCATTTTGCAAACTTCTTTCGAACTTGCAATCCCTGAAATTGTTATGATTACAAAATAGACATCGATCAATGATGAAAATATATTCTTTAAATTAAAAAAAAAGCCATTAAACAGGTATTTTAACTTGATCTAAAAATATAGGATAGAGGATATTTATGTGGGGTTTTTTTCTACGATTACAGGAATTGTTTTTTTCATCGAGTAATATGAATGAGTGGTGGTACCACAAGAACTTGAATTTTCTGATTATTATATACATTTTTATCTTCTTTTTTGACATTACATTTTGAAAGACTTGCGCTAAATTTTGTGTATTGGCTGAATTTAGAAGAAAGAAGTCCGGAAAGACATCAGTGAAAATACGTAAACTATGTTTCACTGCAATAAAAAATAAATTTTACAGTAAAAAATACCGAAAATGAAAACACGCATATAATTTATTCAGTATTTCTCCATTTTCATTGATAAGTTTATAATGAATGTTATTATTTTCAGTCAATGGTACAGAAATAGAATGTAAATGGAACCAAGTTAACCCGGATGTGTACGAGTTCAAGTACCGGCCACCGTATGCTGGCATTTATGACATTAACGTATTATGGAACGGAAGAAGCGTACCTGGTAACTGTTATTTTACTACATGCATTGGTTTCGAACCTTCTTGGTTTCAAAACAAATTGTGATGTTAACACATTTCTTTATACTTAAAAGATTAAGTGGATTAAAGATGATCAGAAATACAGTCAAACCTGTTTAATTTATAGACCTGCCTTTGGGAGCATAGAACGAGAGGTATATAAAATCAGTGAAAAAAGAGGTTTCTTAAATTGTAGAAGAAAAAGGTTTTTTAAATTGTAGAAAAAAAGAGGTCTCTTAAATTGTAGAAAAAAATAGGTCTTTAAAACAGAGAAAAAGTGGTCTCTAAAATAACAGAGTTTTTTTTTAAATTATGGAAATATTGCATTGAAAGAAAAAATGTCATATAAATCTGTCGGTCTTCTATGACACGTTTTTTCACAGGTGGTCCTTTACAAAGGTTTGATTGTAGGAAGATAATTATATGAGCCATGTCACTACAAAACCAACATAATGGGTTTGCGACCAGCATGGATCCAGACCAACCTGCGCATCCGCGCAGTCTGATCAGGATCCTGATGTTCGCTGACAAACCATATATCAAGTAGAGAAACTGATAGCGAACAGCATGGATCCTGATCAGACTGCGCGGATTCACAGGCTGGTCTGGATCCATGCTGGTCGCAAACCCATTATATTGGTTTTGTCGTGACACGGCTCACATATTTTTTATAAAGGAATACTAGTAAAAACGTAGGTTTGTTTGTTTTTCCGGACTATTCTTGCTAAGTTTGTCAAATTTGAAAATTAAAAACAGATTTGTCAACTGAATCTATGACCGCATGTGTAGAACACTGGTTTATATTTATTATGAAAGAAAGAAATTCGTGCAATTCAATCGAATTTTTTCAATTTGGTTAACAGCAAGGTTACTTTAGGCCCATTTTTCTGAAATTAAATGATTATTTGAACGTTTTACATCTGTTGACCACAATACTTAGCTTTACCATCAAGTGGCAGTACACTTATCTAGACACTCGTAGAAATCTTCAAACCGATCCATGTTTGTTTATCTTTTTTCACTTTATGGTCTGGGCAATGTTGAGTAGTTGTTAACATGTGTAAATATGAAAAACACCATTTTACTTTATTTACTTTATAAATGTGATATGGCCAGTAGACAAATATACCCCTATGACGAGAATAGATTTATTAGATCTAATGATCCCATTAGTGATAAATCGTACATAAAACCATCGGATTCTTAAGGCTTGAAACAAATTTTGGAATTTTATTTTTCTATATTTTTTTAGAAAAAAAAAGAATGGTATTATTATTAAAATGTCTTTCCTTTGTTACTTATATATGTAACTTTCTTTTTATTTCTCATTTTGATGTAGGAATTATGAAAAGATCGAGAAAAAATAAAAATACATTCAGCAATTTTTTCAAATAAAATAATAAACAAAATAATTCTATTTTTTCCCACAATTTCTATATGAAAAATTTATATTTTCAGCAAAATTGCTGTTTATTTCAATCTTATTTCAGCTGCAACCGTGACAAACGCTTTCGAAATAGATTATTAAAGATCATGAACACGACACTTACTTGAAAGGATTTTTTTATTTTAAATTCCGAAATTTAGTTAATTTTCCTGCACGAGCTTTGTTGAAATAGTTTACTTTCTTGATAAATTGTGAAGACTATGAAACTTCATTTCAGGGAGCCCATTCCACCCTCAGATTACCGACCGCTCGAAGGTCTTTCTGATGGATGACCTTTCGGACTTAAAGGACGAAAATGACCACCTGGCACTCGCGTGCGACTCCGAAACTGTCCTTAATTTCAACACAGGAGAAGCTGGACCTGGTAAGTGCATTCTTTTGTTTTGTTTTTCTTGTAATCATATAAATTACACTAATTTGTATAACGTTTTTATTTCTTACAATATTATGTATATCAAGACTACAGTTTTTTTGGAATTATATAGATAAACATGTATACGGTCTTTGTTGACAGAGATATATTTCTGAAACATAGTATGTATTGCTCATTTATTGCTTACACGTTTACATAAAAAGATTGTCATATGAGCGTCGCCATGACAAAACCAACATATTGGGTTTGCGACCAGCATGGATCCAGACCAGCCTGCGCATCAGGAGCCATGCTGTTAGCTATCAGTTTCTATACTTGTAATAGAGTTGGTAAGCGAACAGCATGGATCCTGATCAGACTGCGCGGATGCGCAGGCTGGTCTGGATCAATGCTGGTCGCAAACGCATTACGTTGGTTTGTCGTAACGCGGCTCATATAAATTTTGTCCACCCTTCAGTTTTAGTCTATAGAACAGATCTAATTAAATATTTAAACTTCATAACGCTCGTTTACTTCACTTGTATTAATATATTGTTTTAGAGGTTATAATTTGAATCTACTGCGCATATACGTTTGATACGGATGGGGGAAGAAATATTAAACATAGTAACCGTGAATATGCATGCTAATTAACTTATAAAATATGAGATCGTTTACCTGAATTTTTTAAAATCTGTTTTATAAAAATGTCTTCCGAAAATTTTAAATATTTGTGTGTGTGAAAATGTTCTTGTAGATCTAAAGTGAAAAGCAGGCATTGTCATTTCATATGATTAGTTCTATGATAGATTTATGCTCGATTAATGATTAATTAACGATTTATGACTTCGTCTTCAGGAACGTTTACAGCAGAGGTGCTATCACCCGATGGCCGTTTACCGGTAAATATACGGAAACCGGACCCGGGTAAAGTACAGGTGGGATTCACTGCCAAGGTTGAAGGTAATTTTGAATTTTTATTTGGTTTTGAATTTATTAAAGAAAACACTAATTTCAAAATATGCCATTAGCAGCGCACGATAAAATAATTATTTGTATGCTTAGGTTTATTATGTGCCTGTACGTTTTATTATTTTATATTTTTTAGGATAGTGATAACCTAATTAATTTGTAAGTTGATAATACAGTATGCGTCGTGATGCCAAGCACATACAAAAATGATATATTTTTTAAAAGCATTTAATTGTCGTCCATTTTTATTTCTGCTTGCTCCCTACGCATGATTCTACTTTGCTGTATCTTTAAATGCAAAGAATTGGAACCAAACCTCTATATTTCACCAACATTGTGAGTTCCTCTGTATCATACTGAAAAATTTAACTATCTCACCGAAATGCATAAGCTGTAATACGTAAATTTTCATTTACTCGGCAAATTTCAACTATTAAAACATTACGATATTTTGATATACAGGTGACCATTACATTCATCTCTACTGGTCGTCTGTACCATTGGATAAGTCTCCGATCCTGGCCTATTGTCCTGGTCCCGTCCTACCAGTGAACCATGCGCACGTGCTCGTCACGGGAGAAGGTTGTCGCACAGCACGTGCAACGGTACCTACGGAGTTCATGGTAGATGGAAAGAAGGCTGGTCCAGGTAATTATAGTCTGACTTTTTATTGATAAGATGTTTTTAAAACTTCATTTCGTATCATTCGACATCTAGGTAACAGGTGTAACTCGAGCAGACGACATTAAGGGAGATTTCTTTATAAAAACTACAACATCAATTTGAGTTGCCGTTCTTTATTGTTAAGTGTGTTTTAGGTATCTCATGTACACAAATACGAAACTATGTCATTTTGTTAGGTCAGTACCGGATTATGCATCATAATTATGTTTAACAAATTGGCTGATTAACAAAATTAATATGATATAAGTTCATTTCCTTTTTTTTCAGAATAGGTAGAACTAAACAAAATATTACTTTGTTACATGTATATAGAATCTACCTGAAATATTAAAACTTTATTAAACGTCACGTGACGATTCTTGCAGTTAACATCACTAAATATTACAGGCATTCCACGTGTACGGATGACGGGCGTCAAGACGGATGTTGACGTTGAAATGCGGGCGATGAAATACGACCGCTACAAGTGTAAATACGCAGCCCCCTATCCTGGTAAAGCATTTTCATTTTGTATTTAAAATATCCTTGTTAAATAATATAGAAAAGCTATTCACTGATTTACTGTAAATATCGATGCTCATTCAGCTGATCACCGAGGCCAAACATTGATGTCGGATAACATTCTGTCCCCTGGTGTGGGCTTTAATTTTCAACGCATCGGTGGATTTGAACCATTTCATAGATGTAATCTATTCAGTTTGTTAACAGAGTGCTGGAATTTCTTACAAAGATTCTTCTCGTGTTCTCTGCTCTCTTTTATTTTGTTTAATATGAACAAACTGCTTACTTGTTTAAATTCGACAATGCAACATCGACTGAAACATTTTTAAATCCATTTCTTAAGACTAACCGGTACTAGTGTCACACAAGGCCACGTTGCAGTCACATCAGTGCAGCTCTTACTCAAGAGTTCTTGACTGAGAGGCAGGTACCTTCTTCCCAACTCATTGCTTGCCATCAGCCAATATAGGCTGAAAGTAACTAAAACTAGCCCATGCAATGTTAATGTGGTCAAAATGTGTCGGACCAAAATTTTATGATAAATATTCGTTTTTTTTATTATGATATTTAATATTGTTTCTTCAATTTTCAGGCGGGTATCTCCTTCACGTGGAATGGTCGGGCTTTCAAGTACCCGGATCTCCTTTTAAGGTCAATATTACTACGAAAGGTCACAGTGACAAGGTGAAAGTTGAGGGTCCGGGTCTAAGGGGCGGGTATGTTGGTCAGGAGTTACGGGCCGTAGTGGACACATCCGAAGCAGGAAACGGTAAGAGCGTCAATACTGTTTGCCTTTCAAACAATTATGTCAAAAAGAATATAGTTTGCTACACGGATCTACCTGAAATTTATTTTATCTGTATTTTTTGTGTATACAATGTAAACTTGTGAAAATGATTATATTGATTCATTATCAAATAACCCTCAAGTTGTTGTTAGGAAGCGTTTTTTTTTTCATTTGCCATACAGAAATCCTAGCCTACGACTCAATGAACTTTTGAGATTTGTTCCGTTTCTAAAAATAGTCATACCAATCAGCATAATGAACCACACTTTAACAAAGAGTCATAATTTTATATAATATTTATAGCATTATCAGACATATTTTCTAGAATTCTGTGTTTTCATTATTTTAGGGGAAGTGCTTGCCGACTGTCAAGGGTTAAGGCACAACGCACGCTGTGATCTAATTGACCACCGTAACGGAAAATATACGTTACGTATGTTCCCGACGGAGGCGTGTCGGCATAAACTGGTGATTAAATATGACGGTGAAAGTGTTCCAGGTGAATATAAACCTTCAATTTTATTCCCTTTGTTTAAAGAGATAATTGATTAATGAAGATGTAGGAACCATTTGCTCTTAATATTCTAAATATTGAGAATTTTATTATTTCTGTCCTATTTTTATTTATTTGTTCTTACTTTTTTATTTATTTTATTTATTAATTATTTATTTTATTTATTTATTTATTTATCTATTTATTTATATTTTATTTAATTTTATTTTATTTTATAAATTCAATGTGGCTTACTGCCCTGACCCGGAGTAAAAACTACCAACAGCACCATAGCCAGAAATCGGATGCAATTTTTTGCAGAGAAAAATTAGGGAAATGCTAATGTTGTTTATATTTTTACTTGAAAAGAAAGTTAACAATTTAATCATATGTAATTACAGGAAGTCCATTCACTATACCGATCGGTGAACCGCCAGATCCGAGGAAAGTTCGGGTGTTCGGTCCAGGCATCGAACCTGGTGTGATACAGAGGTTTGAGAGTAAATTTATCGTAGAAACATTCGGAGCTGGGGCCGGTCAACTGTCTGTACGGATCCGAGGACCTCGAGGTAAATAATTGAGCCGCGTCACGACAAAACCAACATAATGGGTTTGCGACCAGCATGGATCCAGACCAGCCTGCGCATCCGCGCAGTCTGATCAGGATCCATGCTGTTCGCTTACAAACCATATAGCAAGTAGACTGGTCGCAAACGCACTATGTTGGTTTTGTCATGACGCGGCTCAATTATTTTTCTATTTTTATGTACGATTCTAATCCGTCTTAAGTTTAGATCTTATGTTTTTGCGTACTTAACGCATAGCACTTTTTAATTATAGGACCTGATTTCAATCAAATTTGATGTGTTTTTTTTTTCGAGGATAACTCGTGTCAAAATGAATACTTGTCTGACCAAAATACAGCGGTTTTTTCCCTTCCCAGGTGCATTCCGTGTAGACATGAAAAGAGACCGCGAGGACGAAAGAACAATAACTTGCCGGTACGATCCCGAGGAGCCGGGCGAGTATATCATCATGGTGAAATGGTCTGGTGTGCACGTGCCTGGAAGTCCATTCAAGGTGCCCGTGTTCGAGTCTCTAGAGGCTCTGTACAAGCATGTTAAACAAACTAAACAAGTGGAGCTGATAGCTGATTACCAATGGAAAGAAGAAATTTAGTGATATACGTCCTAAATTTCAAAGCCACATTATGCCTCAGAAACGAATATTTTTCATCTTTAATTCAAAAGGGCAAATATGAGTTTTATAACGTCTAAGTAATGGTTTTAGAGCATGTTAGATGCTTCTCAACTGTAGATAGAAGTGTGGAATGTGAAATTATTTGTCATAAAAGTAGCAAAATTAAACGTGGTATTTTGAGTGCCATACAAAGTAATAAATCACTATGTGTACAACTGTACTTATTGGCGAAAAGCAACAGAAGCAAATTAAGGATCGGGTAATTGACCAATGAATAAATTTGTGGAAACTGTCACTGGACGTCAGAAATAAAAAATACTTTTGACATTCTGAGGAATAATGGGCCTTTAAGGTTTCACTTAAACTGAAATTTTAGATATAAAGTATGAACAATCTTTAGATTAATATTATTTATGGAGTTGTAGTTGAAAAATACATAACTCTAGATATTTAAGCATCTAATGCCTGCAAATATCATAAAACTTTTTTCCGCTTTGTGAATTACTGTATATAAGATTCGACCGTTCGATTCCGTTAATAACTATGCGTATTGAATTGTAGAACTACCCGTTTTATTCTACAAAAACGTGATGTGCTTTGTGGTGTTTACTTTACCGTTCTATTCCGTTCGTCACAGTGTACATTGTATTGTAGACTTGACCGTTCTCTTCCGTTAATGACTATGCATGTTGAACTGTAGAAATAGCCGTTCTGCGACGTCCTTTGCGTTCTATTCCGTTCATCACAGTGTGTATTGTATTGTACATATGTTTATTTTTGAAAAATACATATACAGTACAAATGTTAATATTGACAATCAATTATATAAATAGAACATTACGATATAATTTTATGTATTTGTTGGACCACAAATAAATAATTAATAAATAAATAATTAATGATGAATATACGTTGTTTGTTGTTACACTAGACACCTGGGAGTAAAATGTATAGTATATTGTATATAATTAAGTTTCAAAGGGAGCTTATCACGTTATCACGTGACATATCATCATTCAGCTATCAAGTTACCTCCCGTGAAATATACGTTTAAGCCAATTAACGGAACATAACCAACGATACAATACCATGGGACGATATCGGTCCGATACTAAGTAACATTATGCAACATGGAAATGTTAAGTTCATTATGAAAGAACAGTAATAACAGTATACATGTAATTTATATGTTAAAATATACCTGCACAATCATATGAAATATTCATGATATTTTATCACATATTTTAGAGATCATTATATATACTACATCTATATTCTGAGAAATGACTAAGTTAAGATATTGCAGAATTTCAATGACAAATTAAAAAATGAATAAAAGTGAATTGATCCGTAACAACAGACCATGTATTATATATGGATGTTGTTGCTAAGTGAAAGATCCATGAAGCGATGTTACATATCTATATTAGCATACAATAAATTGTTTGAGGACAAACCCATTCGTCCATACCAAATAAATTTAAACTTTTTGAACATTTTTTTGAGAAATGTTTTACAAGAATATCCAAATAATACCTTTTTATTGTTCTTGATAAAAAATTTCGACGAGAACAAAACCGTGTATCAATGCATTACAATGAAAGTAAGAGTAGTTTCCCTTGTTTCTGGAAAAAAATCGATATCACTCGGTCATAAGACGACCTTCAGCGGATGCAGTTACAATTTGGATCTCGTTAGGAATACTTTTCATTTTCTAGCAGCAGAAATACAAAAGATATTCTGTCAGAATTGGATAATTATTGATAAAAAATGGAAAACATGTTCGGAATAATGCATATTTTAGTAATAGGTGAGTATTTTTCATATTTCATATATGTTAAAATCATTGATTTCGGCCCTTCTATAGCTTAATCTATTCCTACAGGCATGATTTTTTTAAAAGACGGATTTTCAAAATTAAGCAAAAGAAAGCTTTTGCTGTTGCTTTTTTAATAATCATATATGAAATTTGGCACATGTACTGAATCGAAACGGAAATCGTTTTAAGATGGTGGGCAGGCAATATTATCGATCTATGCACCTATGGCGGCAGATTGGATTTATTTGCTGATACTCGCCTCACATGTGTTGGTATTGTTGTTCCTTTATATCAGATAATGTTTCTTTGTTCATCGTCCAGGAAATCATTAGCCGGTCTAACAAAAATGCGTGTACCCCTTAGAATTCATATTAATATTGAGTTGTTTTCTAATTGTGTATTTATTTGCCTCAACAAAACTTTATTTTCGAATTTTTTGTCCAATAAACAACTTTATTAGCCAAATTGTTGTTTTTTTTATCATCTCGCAAGCATTTTCTTAAATTCCAAATTAATATTTTGGATATAATTTTATCTGTCAGATATCTTTATATGTTTTTTTTCTACTGTTTAAATATAACTATTTAAATTTTATTTTATATCTTTGATTTTGCATTTCATTTGTTTTCAATTTTGCATAATATTTCTTTGTTTTATTTTAATATCGGTGGAATCAGTTCGTGAAGATGTGTAATTATTATGTTGACAGATGGGTGAATACAATTTTAGTCTGAAACTGTATCATAATTAGATGAATCATATTACATGTTTTACAACCGATAGAAAATCAATATTGTATCAGACAGGAATTAATATTTTAACAGACAAAATAAGGCATTATTTAATTAATTATGCATGGTGTCAACTATTCTAATTATACGAACTTTGTATCCCATGTATTATTTTGTGTACATGAGAGTATATATGAAACTTATGAAAAAGACCTTAACCATGTTAACCGTTCAGTAAGGTATATTTCTATAAACTTTCTGGTAAGTACGCGTGCCTATGCATACGTGGAAACTTATGAAGATATACCCATAAAATACATATATGTATATATATACACAATAGATAACTATAACATACTGAACTAATTTATCGAGTTTTGTCATTATTGAAGATCTACTGTAAAGGAAAAAAAAGTTTCGAGTCATGTTGATTGAACCAACCATTTCTGGTGTTTAAGGGAAAGAACAGTCGTGACCAAAGCAGAACTCGAACCCGCGATCCCTGGATTAGTTTTATTTAGTGATGATTTCTAAATTTAGCTTTTTTACAATGAAGAAACTTTATGGTCGTTTACTAACAGCCGTTGTTTTTCTTTCTTCTTTTTTCATCTTTTTTTTCACTCTCAATTATATCTCATACAAAGGAACGCCGGCATCATTTGTATGATAAAGTAAAGCGTCTATCGATTTTGATATATTATTCAACCATTCAATGATTTTTCCCTTACTGGTTCCATACTGTTGCTTTATCGAACCCGACCATCATTTGGTATTGATTTACAAACGCCATGTATCTAAAATTACTCTCTGTGAGTTTATAGTTTTAATTGTATGTGGATGACTTTTTATTCATAGAAACTGAAGAGTGCCACAGTTCTGTGTAAACACATGTGTTCACCGTACTATAAATTCTGTTTTATTCTTGTGTATTGAATTCCTGCCAAGTTGATATTGGTATAAGTATAGCGGTGTGGTTTATAAGCTATCTTCACATATTACTTATGCAGAGTGTAGAATAATTGGAAGAATATTTCAGCCATTCATACATACGCATTCATAAAGAAATGACGTAAATTCTTTATCTTCACATCCAGCATAATGTTTGTTTGTTGTTATTGTAATTGTTTGCGTTGTTTCTTTTTAAGTTCTTTTTTTCTGGGGTTTATTTAATGGTGGAGGAATACCTAAAGTACCCTTCTGTGCATTAATGTGCGTACAAACAATAAAAACTGTAATGGCATAACAGATAACTAGAATGCTATATATATAAATATTGAACGGTAATAATACTCAAATGTCGAAATAGTAATTTGAGTCTTAAAATTTACTGAAGAATTATCATTTTGATAAAAATAAATAACATATGAACTTCTAACACATTATTTATAATATTTATGTATGGAAAAGCAATTATGCATGTGAAATTTAATAAAAAAAATTAAAAGAACATAACTATAGGGATAGCACAGAAAGAGAATTAAATCAGTATTTACATCCAGGTCGCTATTTTCATCATTCGAAACACATCAGTTAGATTATTTCTGACTCATGCACACTTCTAAAGCGGGCGTTACAACGGCTTAACTTACCGGGAAAATAAAACAAATGTTACGCCTGCATGTGTTGAGATGAGCTTATTTTTAATTTTAGTGTTTCGAAATACATTAAAAGAACATTGGTATTAAAATAGAATTTTCGAAATATTTTAATAAGTATACATGACATACTTTGTTTAGCGCCAGAATTTCTTGTATAATAACCGATGAAATGATTAAAAGCTAGATTAAATAAAAGTAACAAACAACGTTAATCATGTAAAAACAGGAAAATCTTTTAAACTGTGAAAAGTATGAGTAAAAAATCAGTTAGGGAAATCCAAAAGAAGATAAGCTTGCGTTCCAAATGCAATTTGGTTAAAGGCACATAAAGCCTATGAAAATAACTACATAATTTTTTCTCTCAAGAAAATGCAAACATTTGCTGTATAATATTTTAATGAAGAATTTACACCATGTTTTTATTATTACCGCCTGAACAAAATAGTGCTGAATGTGAAACATCCTGATACGCATTACCTGAAGTACCTGAACAATGATTTTCATCTATTGCTTTTTGGCAATCAATACATTATAGTGAATAAGTATTTCGTATTGAAGTCAAACTACTCATTTATTTACATTTTCCTATTTTTATGACAAATTTGTTCTCATTTATCGCCACCCTTTACAGGAAACAAGTATCTAACATTCTATAAACACTTACTTTAAACATTATAAAATTCACGTATGCCTTTTGAAAAGAAGTAAATATTTATTTGTTTATAGGACATAATGTGCCTTTAAATTGAAGTAGCATACACACATTTAGCATGTTTAAAATGTTTTATGCCATATGAACTGTAAACAATTATGTAAGATTCCCCCCCCCCCTCATTTAATGTTCTTGAGAATGACATTATTTATTAGAATAAACATATTTATTTATTGTATAGAATTTCTTTCCATGAGGAAATACGTATGATTGATTGGTGCCTTGATTTATATCTATTGTATTATTTACCTCGTGTTGTCATGTATATATTGTGCATGTCTTCTTTTTGAGAGAAATAAAGATAGTGTATTTTATTGTGTCGTGTCGTGTCGTGTCGTATCGTATTGTATTGTATTGTATTGTATTGTGATCTGCTGACTTTGCTTTTGATTATGTATTATAATCTTCTTTAAAAAGAAACAAGGATCTATGTTCAAGCCCCCCAAAAAATAAAAAATAAGAAAACGTAATCAACAACATCGCCAATGTGCAACATGTTGGAAACTGTAACAGTACACCAAAAAAGAAAAAAAAAGGCTTTGAAATTGTGAAAATATATAAAATAAAATATTCGGGGGTAAAATAGGCCTTCAAAGACAAAGTCACGTAATTGCTTTATAAATAAATAACAAATATCTCACTAATGCTTGATAACAAGTGTGAGGCGTATAAACGCATATCCTGTCGATGAAAAGATTACATTTATAACTATCTCCTACTTGAAAATGTCCCTGTATCCGATGTATGAAATAAATATAAACCTCTTTAACACAGCTTTTTTAGTGTCACTTAATTTCTCCTTAAAATTAATACTTGTTTTTTATAATTCTCAATATTATCCCCACATCAAATGCTATATATCTTTATTTTTCAGGGCACTCCAAAGAGTTTTTCAGAATTTCAGATCGTTTGCTCAATCCGTTTTTCCAGAATAATCATTCCAGTTGTGAAAATGGCCCATAAATGAAAAGCGTTGCAACGCTTTTCACTAAAATCGGTCTAAGAATTACACGAAAAATTTAATATTATTTTCCATTATTTTCTGAGTAATTAGCCTTTGTACATTTTGGTTTGTAACTGTCTTATTATTATTAGATAATTCAATATATCAGGGAAGAACCGTTTGCTGATGTTGTAAGAACTCGTGGTTCAACCCTTTTGCTACTTTTGTATTTATACTATGATAATATAATGTTATAAATGTGTAAAAAAAAAGAGCAATAAAATATGTTTAAATCAATTAGCCTTTGTATACCAGTCTGTTTATGTATCCAAGTTGATGTATGTAGGTTATTCAAATTGTATTTGTTTAGGCATTTTTACTTCAGTAGAATTCCTTTAAAAGTGTTTTATTAATTTTATTTTCAGTAGCTGCGTTTTTATTGGTGGATCACGGAGTAATTGGTGGCTGTGTCGAGGATAAAACAGATGTGGTGAAGCCCTGCTTCGACCTACTTATGACCGCTATGAATTCACAGAAACCCAAGGATGTGAACGACTTTTTGTGCAGGTATATGTTTTATATGTCAATTTTTCTATGGGTGCAAACGTGTTCTGCGGGCTATAAAACTCAATATTTCAATAAAACAGAAATACACCTCCATTATCCGTTACTGATCAACCCGTTATTGGTATTGTCAAAAATACGGCTCCATTATCCGTTACTGAGAAATCCGTTATTGGTCAAAAATACATATCTATTATCAGTTACTGTTCCATTCGTTATTGGTCAATAATACACCTCCATTATTCGTTTTTGTTCAATTTGTTACTGGTCAAAATCACCTCCATTATTCGTTACTGTTCCATCTGTTTTCGGTAAAAATACACCTTCATTATCCGTTACTGTTCCATTTGTTAGAAACAAACCTCCATTATACGTTACTGTTCCATCCGTCATTGGTCAAAATGCACCTCCATTATTCGTTATTGTTCCATCTGTTTTTTTTGTAAAAATACACCTTTATTATCCGTTACTGTTCCATCCGTTATTCATCATGTTCATTGGTCAGTAATACACCTCCATTATTTGTTACTGTTATATCCGTTATTGGTCAGTATAAACACCTTCATTATTTGTTACTGTTACATCCGTTATTGGTCAATTATGCCCCTCCATTTTTTATTACTGTTATCCGTTATTGGTCAGTAATACACCTCCATTATTTGTTACTGTTATATCCGTTATTGGTCAGTAATATATACCTCCATTATTTGTTACTGTTATATCCGTTATTGGTCAGTAATACACCTCCATTATTTGTTACTGTTATATCCGTTATTGGTCAGTAATACACCTCCATTATTTGTTACTGTTATATCCGTTATTGGTCAGTAATACACCTCCATTATTTGTTACTGTTATATCCGTTATTGGTCAGTAATACACCTCCATTATTTGTTACTGTTATATCCGTTATTGGTCAGTAATACACCTCCATTATTTGTTACTGTTATATCCGTTATTGGTCAGTAATACACCTCCATTATTTGTTACTGTTATATCCGTTATTGGTCAGTAATACACCTCCATTATTTGTTACTGTTATATCCGTTATTGGTCAGTAATACACCTCCATTATTTGTTACTGTTATATCCGTTATTGGTCAGTAATACACCTCCATTATTTGTTACTGTTATATCCGTTATTGGTCAGTAATACACCTCCATTATTTGTTACTGTTATATCCGTTATTGGTCAGTAATACACCTCCATTATTTGTTACTGTTATATCCGTTATTGGTCAGTAATACACCTCCATTATTTGTTACTGTAATATCCGTTATTGGTCAGTAATACACCTCCATTATTTGTTACTGTTCCATCCGTTGTTTGTAAAAAATACACCTTTATTATCCGTTCCTGTTCCATCCATTACTGGTAAAAATTAGCATTTTCGTGTCTTTAAAGAAGTTAGCGACAGAATAGATACTCTTTGTGCGTCCATATAATGTTTTCATATACTGCAGTTATATACAGAAAAAACACACACACAAACAAACAAACAAACAATGAGAAAAAATTATATACCTACAATTTTGTGCCTGGTCAGACTGATCTTGACAATAACTACTCACTCTCAGTGGCAGCAGGGTGAACAAAGTTAATTTAGAACTTTTGCCTAAAAACATAAATTACATAAAGTCACAAATACATGCTTCAATTTGTTGTGCAGAATAATTATTTTAAAAGCGTTAACTCTCTTGTATTTCAGTGATTCACAAAAAGAGAATTTAGACTGTGTTATCAAGGGATTTCACGAGTGTCCGGACTTTAAGAAAGAGGCGTTCATTGAAGGCTTGAAAGATTCCAGTTTCAAAGCCATCGAACTTTTCCACGTTGCGTCAGCGGACGAATTTTGTGGTATGTTAAAAAATAGTTGAAGGAATTTCTGATTTGGTTAAGCTAGTCTGCAAAAATCACCGTGAATAAGAATTATAGAATCTGAGAGAATACCTTAATTCTGTTGGTCTAATGTCAAAAGCAAATGTAAATATGATAATGACGTTTGTAGAAATCATTACTTTTATATTTGAATGTTTTTTTGGGGTTTTTTTGTTGGTTTTTTTTTGTATTTTTTTTTTCGGTTTTTTTTTCGAATTATAATAACATATATATGTGCATGGTAAGATAAATAAAGGGTTATTGTCAGAATTTAGCATTGTATATAATGAACAGTAATTAAAATGATAAATGTATGCAATATTTATGTTTTTATTCCCAGAATGCGCAGCGACATTCACGTACATGATAGAGGTAGAGTCACAGCTAGGAAAGGAACTGAGACAAGGACCATGGCCAAAAACAGCCAACCATGAATATATTTGCGGGTATTTAAAGCATTAAGAATCTATTTGTTCTATTTTTAGACAACATGTATTTATTATCCTAAACCTGTTGATCTTTGAATTTGGAACAGTTCATTTACAGTTTAAAAAGGTTATAGAGCGGTCCATAAGTAATAAGGGACTTTAAAACTGAATTTTCAGCAGTAAAAACTGGCAAGATGTGCATGCGGGCCTGACTATGTCCTATTTTGCATTGGTATAATATGGTAGCCTTAAATGTCGATTTCAGGAATGGATAAAACTGCAAAGATCAGTCATTATAACGAATTATTACAAATTACGCAGTTATCGTTGAGCTGAATTGGATACAATAATAAACACTTTGAATGCAAGCGGCAGGTCATATGGCAATTATACTGCTTTTCTGGCGGAGGAAGACCTTAGGTGGCATTTTATGCATTATTATATCGGGTACTAGAGTAGAAAAAGTCGACCTTCTGTAAACTAGCTGAATATATTCCTCACATGAAAGAATCCAAAGTCTCTGACGACATTGGAACCAAAAGCAGTGAGGGACTAGTGACAAGTCAGGCGACCTTAACTACTTGACAACGGTGGCCACTACTAAGCTATGTCAGTTCATCTCGGAATCTCTTGCAGTCTTACCAGTCACTATCCAGTAACCAGTCTATCTTATTTTAAAATAAAATCATTGTAGTTTTGGTTAAAGAAGTCTTTTTTATCAAAGAGACAGGTTTCCTTCTATAAACTTAAAATATTCAATCAGTATTTCCGGTTTGGAACTTCCGGTTTCATTTAATTTTGAAAATAACATGGTATTAAGTTGAGGTGTTATATTTCAGAATATCAAATGCAATAATATAAAAATATCTATGTTTCAGTGTAAAGCGCTATAAAATAGACCGTGTGGCCAAATCACTGCCAGTATGCGCGGACTATTTAAAGTACAAACACAACGAGACCACAGGCGACAATTCTAACGTACACTCGAACGTGAAGAACTTTCAATATGCAGCAGAATATGCTGACAAATACTGCACAAAATTTCCCAAGGGTAAATAGAAATATTTCGTAATGTTTTTATGCCCCCGCCATGTAATGGCCGGGGCATATAGTGTTACCCTGTTCCGTCCTTCCGTCCTTCCGTCCTTCCATCCTTCCATCCTTCCGTCCTTCCGTCATTCTGTCATTCCGTCATCATCAGTTTCCGTTCATTATCTTAAGAACGGTTGGGCACATTCAACTCAAATTTGACATATGGATATGTCATGAGAAAATACAGGTCAAGTTCGAATTTGGTCATGGTTCGATGATTTTTGGCAGAGTTATGCCCCTTTTACTTTGAAAATAATATGAAATTTCAGTTTCCGTTCATTATCTCAAGAACGGTTGGACACATTCAACTCAAACTTGACATATGGATATGTTATGAGAAAATACAGGTCAAGTTTGAATTTGGTTATGGTTCGATGATTTTTGGCAGAGTTATGCCCCTTTTACTTTGAAAATAATATGAAATTTTCAGTTTCCGTTCATTATCTCCCCAACGGTACAACACAATCAACTCAAACTTGACATATGGATATGTCATGAGAAAATACAGGTCAAGTTCGAATTTGGTCATGGTTCGATGATTTTTGGCAGAGTTATGCCCCTTTCACTTTGAAAATAATATTAAATTTTCAGTTTCCGTTCATTATCTCCCTCAAGGTACAACACATTCAACTCAAACGTGACATATTGATGCGTCAAAGGAATGCGCAGGTCAAGTTCAAATTTGGTTGTGGTTCGATGATTTTTGGCAGAGTTATGCCCCTTTTACTTTGAAAATAATATGAAATTTTCAGTTTCCGTTCATTATCTCCCTCAAGGTACAACACATTCAACTCAAACGTGACATATGGATGCGTCAATGGAATGCGCAGGTCAAGTTCAAATTTGGTCATGGTTCAATGATTTTTGGCAGAGTTATGCCCCTTTCACTTTGAAAGTAATATGAAATTTTCAGTTTCCGTTTATTATCTCCCCAATGGTACAACACATTCAACTCAAATTTGACATTGGATATGTTTTTGGAATGCCCAGGTCAAGTTCAAATTTGGTCATGGTTCAATGATTTTTGGCAGAGTTATGCCCCTTTCATTTTGAAAATAATATGAAATTTACAGTTTCTGTTCATTATCTACCTAACAGTGTTACATATTCAATTTTAATTTGACATATGGATATGTCAAAGGAATGGGCAGGTCAAGTTGGAATTTGGTCATGGTTCGATGATTTTTTGGCAGAGTTATGTCCCTTTCACTTTGAAAATAATATAGATACATCTTAGGAATAAGCAGTTTAAGTTTGAATTTGGTCATGGTTCAATGATTTTAGACAAACTTATCTTTCCTGAATGTTGGAAAAATTTTGAACTTTCAGTTTCAGCACTCATTCTTTTAGCCATTATTTTGGCTACAAATATGCAATATGCTTTTTCTAAAGGTTAAGACTGAATAATTTCAGTGCCTTGAACGTTGTATGGAAATGGTTTGTGTTAACATTGAAAAGTTTTAAGGGCTTTGAACTTAAAATGAAAAAAAAAAATTAATGCACCATCTGAAATTTTGGCTGCATGCGGGGGCATCCGTGGCATGATGACACATTTCTAGTTTTTATTTTTTTTACCATTTGGTTAGGTCTGGCGAAAAGCAAATCGCAAATTGCGAAAGGTCGTAATATTTTGCGCTCACTATTGATATATGTATATGTCATCAAATGATCACAGTAATGGCAAGAAATGTTTAGGCTGATTCAGAAGAATTGTGCGGAATTTTCGCGCCTTTTTGTCATGCACTTTCGGGTCAATATGGTGTTGTTTTGTTTGTTTCAACACCAACACAGCGAAGAATATACGTCCACTATCTGACTGCCCCCTCAGAGTTTTGTTTGTGTTCTCTATACCTTATAATGACGTCTAGAATTGTTAGGAATAGTTGGGGGTGTTAGGAATTGTTGGGGGTGTTAGGAATAGTTTGGGGGTTTAGGAATAGTTTGGGGTGGTGGTGTGAGGGAGAGAATATTGATTACAATTGACTAGTTTCATAAGATTATTGTTTATATATGTACAAAGTAATGTGTTTTATCTTTTTGCTGAAGGATTTAACGACACGTGTTCCATGGAGAGAATCAGTTGGTCATCTCTAGAATTGTGTCATGGTCAAATTGATAACCTTCAAAAAGTCACAGATCAGGAATGTCAGTAAGTGTACCATTACAACATTCTTTCAAACAATACAAATTAATATGCTATATTTGTTTCAACTAGTACAAACTTACGTGTTTTATTTGTTTCAACCAGTGTTATATTTGTTTCAACCAGTACAAACTTACGTGTTTTATTTGTTTCAACCAGAGTTATATTTGTTTCAACCAGTACAAACTTACGTGTTATATTTGTTTCAACTAGTACAAACTTACGTGTTATATTTGTTTCAACTAGTACAAACTTACGTGTTTTATTTGTTTCAACCAGTACAAACTTACGTGTTATATTTGTTTCAACCAGTACAAACTTACGTGTTATATTTGTTTCAACTAGTACAAACTTACGTGTTTTATTTGTTTCAACCAGTGTTATATTTGTTTCAACCAATATAAACCTACGTGTTAAATTTGTTTCAACCAATACATACTTACGTGATATGATTGTTTCAAACAATACAGACTTATGTGTTATATTTGTTTCAACCAGTGTTATATTTGTTTACCTACTTTGTTACGTGTTAAATTTGTTTCAACCAATACAAACTTACGTGTTATATTTGTTTCAACCAGTACAAACTTACATGTTTTATTTGTTTCCACCAATACAAATTCACGTGTTTTATTTGTTTCAACCATTACAAATTCACGTGTTTTATTTGTTTCAAACGATACAAACTTATTAATTATAGTTTTTACACTTCCTTGATTTTAGTCGAATTTTTGCTTAAACAAACCAGTACATGTGCTTGTTTGGACTTTGGAATAGATGACGTTGATAGATAGTGGTTGTGATGATGATGATGATGATGATGATGATGATGATGACTTTAATGACGACTTTAATGATGATGATAACGATGATGGATTGAAGATCCTTTATGAAAAGCGACATTGCCCTGTAAACAATTATACATGTTTTCTATATGTTTTTCACTCCGCCTAGCGACTTTAGCAAAGGCTTTGACTTAATAAATTATTTCAAATTGATAAATACAATCACACCCGAAAAGACTGATCTTATGAATACATTTCTTTTTCAGAATGAGAAGATGCGTTGCACTTACCATGCGCACGTGCCCAAAAGGTGAAATGGAATATTTCATAGACGCCATTAACGTGTTTAGTGACGTCAGGATAAGCAAAGACGAGACATGTTCAAAAGCCTCTGGCTTTGTTGCCTCTGTTTTAAGTACACTTGTCCTTTGTTTAATTTGTATTTTATTTTAGATAAATTTCATTTTTAGCTAGGTCATGTCGAAACGGCCCGAACAGACCAATCCCCCTCCTTAAAATTAAGTCAGAAAAGGTTTGAAATCATGTACCAACGTATAGATAATATGAGAAAGTAATTCCATGACAATAAAGTGATCTGGGTTATATGCCGTTTGGTGAAGTCCTTAAATGGGTGATGATATTTATGGTAAACATGAATATGCAATCTGAGCGCTTTACTTTTAAAGTCGAAGTGGTCCCTGACATTTTTACAATTTGAGTGCGTTATGTCAATAAATGGTGGATTGGTCTAAATTTTATACCATTTGAAGCGGTTTATGGTATTTGTGCCATTTGAGTGCTTTATTTTAATGGCGATTGGATTGGTAAAATTTTACGCCAATCGAATTGGTTTAGTGTATTTTTGCCAATTGTTTGCTTTATTTCTAATAGCAACTGAATAAGTCTAAACTTCATATCGACCGAAGTCGGGCTTTTTAAGGTATTCGTATTGATTTTTATATTTCATGCCAATGGAAGGGGTCTGTAGTATTTGGATTTTTTTGTGTTTTTTTACTTTAGGCTGCATTGATTATTTGTTATAATTCACCTCTTAATTGATCAGTCATTTAGCTCAATATTCAAATATTGCACAATGTTATCAATATTCTATAATTATAAAAATAATCTTTAAAAAAAAATTTCTTAAAAAGACCACTGTTAAAGCTGAACCATGTAAATATAAAGTCTTCTAAGGTTGTTGAAAAGGGTTTAGAACCAATTAACCTTTTACAACCTCATCTGTTATTGTATCTACCATATTACAAGCAATTCTTACACATTTTACACGTGCATTTGTATAATTGCGCTCAAAATAGTCACATGACCTATCAAAACCAATTATGTTGATATTAGAAGCATTTTTTATTACATATAAAACTGACAGAATAATTTTATGCAATAATAAGTCGAACAAAGAATATTGTGCATGTCTGTTTAACTTAGTGATTCGATAGTTTATTCACAATTTATTTTAGTTCGTTTCTGAAAGAAGCTTTTTATCTTTTACACATACTCTGGAAGTGATTTGTCGAGCTGGAAATACCAGCATTTATTTAGAATAACATTGTAGTAAAAGATTTTAAAAATATCAACACTAAATTCATCTTTATTGAAAAAAACAAAATTAGGAACTATTTTATAACCCTGATATTTTGTGAAACAAAAATTTATATTTGTTGTTAAAACTTGGGCTTGGGATGGCCTAATTTGTAAATTTGTTTAATGATGTCTTTGATTCTCGCATCACGAGCAACAAAAATAAAAGTGTCCTTTGGAGATTGAACGCTGGAAGCATTTTATGTTCCATTATTTACTTTACGTCTTCATGAACAAGGGCTAAACTGACCTGAGGTCAAATGTTTATCTTTTTATATAGAAATATTTATAAGTAGGCCTAGTGTTTTAGCCGTCATCTATGCTGATTTGACTTTAAGGGTTAAGGTTAATTTCTTTTCGACTGAAATGAGTAAGCCTTATAAGCAATTGATGTGCAGACATTTCTGTTTGGTTAATCTCATATAAATTTTGGGGAAATTAATTTTTGAGCTTGGTAATCAAGTCTTATTAGATATACAGATGAACCTGCTTCTAGAGACCACTCTGGTGGAAACGTTAACATTTAATGACACGATTCTTATATACACTGTAGAACTTAATAAACACAGGTTTTATTGTACGCTAAAATTCGAAAACATGTGTTACTTTTCCTTAACATACAAGGAATGAGAGAGTTTTTAGCAATATACATGTATCTTATTTATGGATCGTTTTTGTATATTTATATCAATTCCAAGTTTTATGTAAGTGTATTAGGATTTAAAATTATGTATATTAATTTATGTATATTTATGTTGCCTTTAAAAGTGTTGTTTACATTGTTTTAGTATAGAATATACATGTGTGTTTCTATTGATAGAAAAGTGATTTTATTCTGTTTGTGTGATGTAAATTTTATGCAAAGACCGTGTCCTTAAAACAAAAAGCTTTGGCACATGACTGATTTTATAGAATCTTTGTGTGAATGAATTGTACGATTTAAATGTGTACGTGTACGTGAACGTGTACGTGTAGTTACCATGTTATTATTGTCGATGGATGTTTGCTGAATGTGAGATATGGAATTGTTGGAGAGATAAGGAGTATGGTAAGAGTGCGTGGAAACAAAGGAAATGTAGACCTGTTGGCCAGGTGCTTTAAATACTGGTGACATATCACGTCAAATTTTTATGGTCGCAAGCGTACTGAAGGGTTAACCATTCACCTCTAAAAGTGATAACCAATGTCATCAATATTGAACCAGGCCAGCCTGCACATCCATGTACTATGGTCATGCTTTATACTGTTTGTAGCTCAATTTTTTCATTTTGATATTGAATCACCCCTAAACTTAGAATGAACTGCTCCAAATTGAAAAAAGGGCAAGTCCATTACTAAAATTTAGCAATTAATGGTCGAAGCAGCTAGCATATGAAAGCGTAAAGAATACTAATTCAGTGGTTTTCAATTTTTTGAGTAAAAAGCATGTTACAAATTATTAATTAAATTAATTGGTTACATGAGTGACTAGTTTATGTTGATTGCTGAGTTCTCTCGTTGTTTCCCCTAATGAAATATTGAGTTTATATTCCCATTTTTTATCTTTTCAAGCCATCATATATAACTACAATGTAGTTGTTTTACTTGTACTTACATGTATGTCTGAATTACTTTCAGTTTTCTTTGTCTAAATAAAGGCACAACAATACATAACAATACATATGGCTTACATAGCTATATTATATAAAGTCTACGCATAACAAAGGGTTCTTGTTATGTCGCGCCTCTATTAATTTAAGCCTAATATTCCATCTTTTTTATGGCTACAGCGAAAATGTTCAACACTTTCCGCTCAATTTATTTTATCATAGAAAAATACTATAGGATACTGGGGAAAATCAATAGAACTTTGTAATGATCTAAATTATATTCCATTAAATAGCTTGAATGCTATGATTAATAATTATTTATGAGTATTGACAGTTTTCTGTGTGTGCGCAAATTTTGAAAGTTTTATGTAACGCTGTCAACATTGTATTTGTATGACAGCCTGTTTATAACACGTGACAGTTTCATAGTATCACATATCATCAAATCTTTAGAAAACAAAACATGAATAATGATATTTACCTCCCTTTGTAAAATATTGTCTTCGAATAATTTGAATAATTCCTGCGTATAACCATTTATTTCTTACATTTTATTGTATTTACGATCATTCCACAATTAACGTTTCCGCGTGATTTAGTTTAATACCAGGCTGTTGATGTATGTGTTCCTTTATTACATTTTAACATTGTATCTCTATTTTGCTGTAATTATATGAAATCACACTCCTTGCATCGGTTACGTCACCACTATAGCTCACGTGACGATAGGTACCAGGATGACATGTGACCAAACATGGCGTTTGTTTGTCAGAAAGGAAACAAATTAACTAAGAATTGTGGTCATAACTAATTTCATTATTTTTACGAAATATTATTTTTTTATATAATTATTACGTTTTTGTCCATACTTATTGAAATAAAGGAACCTGATGTAAAAGGAAGTTTCAAATTTTAGAATTTGAATTGAAAAATACTAGGAATACCAAGCTCTGTGACGGCCGTATGTTCTTTACTGATAGGAGTAACCGCTGCGTGGAGTTTGTAAAAAATATTATGGAAGATAAGATTTTAATCGAGTGAATTTGTGGTTAACTATTTCATATTGTTAAGATTCAAGAAAAAAGGTTATTACATTGTAACATAATGTTTCTGAAGTAATGATTTGCGCTTAAAACGCGCATCAAAGTTTAAAAAGGGGAGTAATCCAACAACAATTCATGCAAAGGTTGTGTGTCTTGGAATAGGATGTATTTTTTATCTGAAAGGCCTACAAATGATTATTCAGAGGATTTGAGTAATAAAATGCTGAGTTAAATACACATGTTTTGTCAAGTTTTTTAAGTAATCATGCTTTTATCAGCATGCCAAACAATCGTATGCTTGATAAATCAGTGTCCTTATCTTTTCATAAGAAAACGTAAACTTTGCACCTTAAGCTTTATTGATAGTTATGTCTGCACAAGCTAAAGGGAGATAATTAGGCTAGTTATCATACAGAGACACTTTCCTTGGTCAATGTTTTTGTATCTGATTGAGTTGTTCCAGAATTGTCTTTCCTTAATGTCTTTAATTTTTCAACAACAGCAACAACAACATTTGTTTATGTCAGAACTTGTGTTACTGTAACATTGTATATACATGTTTCTATGCCATTTTGTGTACATGTATTTGCTCTAACCATTTTATAATCTTTTATGATATAGTTTCTGGTCTTGTATAGGATATTTGTTGTAATAAAAGTGGTATGAATGATTAATAAAATCGTGTGTTATTTTTTCTAAGTTACAATGGTTTGTATTTCGACATCAGTGTACTTCTTTGTATACACTGGGTCATGTCTTTCATCCGTATATCAGTCCCTTGTCCGGCCGTTCAAAGTTACATTAATAATTTTATTGTTTTAAACAAGCTTTTATTTTGAGTTCACTTTCATTTTTTTCAGTGGGGGGGGGGGATTTCTTTTGTTTTACAAATACTGCCTATATGGACGTGTGCCATCTCACCTATGAATTTATCCAGATATCCAAGAAGTAATGCTATTTACCATTGCAATGACCGGCCATTATACTGAAATATTGATATGTGCGTAATACTTAAACGTCAAAAGACGGTTTGTTTGGGCAAACAGTCGAAAGCTTCCTTGTTGTAGACACTTTAGTTGAAAATACCAAAATTGTTCTTGACTTATACGGCTGTTAAGTGTAAAGAAGGAAATAGATAAAACCATAGAAAACTACAACTGGTGCTTTGATTTGGAAACAAATTAACATTTGATTCGTGTAGATTATGATTTTTTGGTTTATTTAAAATAGACTTTATACATGTATTGCGTCAATGTGATATGAATAACCATTAAGGAAAGGACCTTATTTCCTATTTTTCATATAAATAATGTTTCCTAAACTCTCACCGTGCTCCAACTCCTTCTCCCGCCGCATTGAGCTCAGATTCATAAATCAACATGGCTGAAGTCTAGGGCCTATTTTATTTATAAATATCACATTAGGAGGCAAACTTTCATTAGAATTGTTGTAAAATGTCAATGCAGCATCAACAATTATTTAATTTATTGAGACAGTTCTTTACAATTGTTTTCCTTCAGACACAAGAAAACACTTTTTTAAATAGTTTTGCTTGGGTGGTGTTGAAAACAAACTTTAGCTAATACATACACCTTTAACCATGAACATCTGGAAAAGTCGACTTAGCGTCCGAACCCTGCTCTTACATAGACAACAAGGCATAAAGTACGGGTAAAAACTTATTGTACATACGCTACGGAACGCAGCGGGTAAAGGATAGGCTACAGGACAAAAGATACGGAGCATACGCTTCTAGACCAAGTGCCTTATATATCCTTAAC